GCAGTAGCAGTAGCAGTAGTAGTAGTAGTAGTCGTCGTCGTAGTCGTAGTCGTAGTAGTAGTCGTAGTCGTAGCCGTAGTAGTAGTAACAGCAGTACTTTTAGTAGTCGTAATAGTAGTAGTAGTAGTAGTAGTAGTAGTAGTAGTAGTAGTAGTAGTAGTAGTAGTAGTAGTAGTAGTTGTAGTAGTAGCGTAGTAGTAGTAGTAGTAGTAGTAGTAGTAGTAGTAGTAGTAGTAGTAGTAGTAGGAGTAGGAGTAGGAGTAGGAGTAGGAGTAGGAGTAGTAGGAGTAGGAGTAGGAGTAGGAGTAGGAGTAGGAGTAGGAGTCAAGCTAGCCAGCTCGAGCGAGTCAAGCATGGCATGCCCAGTCCCACCCGCCCTCCCACAACATAAGAAGCAAAGCTGGCACAACTGGGGGCCGAAGTCACACCGGCCAGCCGGTTTGGTACAGCTGATGCGGCCGCGATGGCGGTTGCCGACGGGAACTGGCGAGCGCGTGTTGAATGCCGCGCACGCATTGCCAGACGAGTCGAGAATGGCCCGGTACACCGCAGGAAGCCAGAGGTGGCCGGAGGAAGCCCGACGGTCTGACAGGACACCCCAAAGCATTTTTGTGAAAAAGCATTGGGTTTTTGATGTTTTTATGTTGAAATGCTTGCAAACACACGGTGTTCGGTAGGATTCTGACATGAACGCGCGAGTGTGCTCTTTGTGGTATTTTTTGCACAGGATTCGCGGCCTGGGTGCATGACAGAGCATCGCGAGTGCACCGCGCGATGACGTGAAATCGCTGGATTTGACAGAATTCTTAAGATTCCTATGGTTTTCCTATGATTTCAGCAAGAGAGCCCGGGCGGGAAATTTGTACAATTTTTGTGAAAAAGCATTGGGTTTTTGATGTTTTTATGTTGAAATGCTTGCAAACACACGGTGTTCGGTAGGATTCTGACATGAACGCGCGCGTGTGCTCTTTGTGGTATTTTTTGCAATGGATTATCGCCGTGGACGACAGGACGTCCATGTCGAGAGGAAAAAATAAGAAAAATGTTGATTTTGTATTGTTTTTTACAGGTTAGGATGGGACCCCCCGGATGCGGCCCCTAATGGCCGGCCTGAGGGGGGAGTAGGAGTATATTCTAATAAGGAATAAGGAAAGGAGTAGGAGTAGGAGTAGGAGTAGGAGTAGGAGTCAAGCTAGCCAGCTCGAGCGAGTCAAGCATGGCATGCCCAGTCCCACCCGCCCTCCCACAACATAAGAAGCAAAGCTGGCACAACTGGGGGCCGAAGTCACACCGGCCAGCCGGTTTGGTACAGCTGATGCGGCCGCGATGGCGGTTGCCGACGGGAACTGGCGAGCGCGTGTTGAATGCCGCGCACGCATTGCCAGACGAGTCGAGAATGGCCCGGTACACCGCAGGAAGCCAGAGGTGGCCGGAGGAAGCCCGACGGTCTGACAGGACACCCCAAAGCATTTTTGTGAAAAAGCATTGGGTTTTTGATGTTTTTATGTTGAAATGCTTGCAAACACACGGTGTTCGGTAGGATTCTGACATGAACGCGCGAGTGTGCTCTTTGTGGTATTTTTTGCACAGGATTCGCGGCCTGGGTGCATGACAGAGCATCGCGAGTGCACCGCGCGATGACGTGAAATCGCTGGATTTGACAGAATTCTTAAGATTCCTATGGTTTTCCTATGATTTCAGCAAGAGAGCCCGGGCGGGAAATTTGTACAATTTTTGTGAAAAAGCATTGGGTTTTTGATGTTTTTATGTTGAAATGCTTGCAAACACACGGTGTTCGGTAGGATTCTGACATGAACGCGCGCGTGTGCCCTTTGTGGTATTTTTTGCAATGGATTATCGCCGTGGACGACAGGACGTCCATGTCGAGAGGAAAAAATAAGAAACATGTTGATGTTGTATTGTTTTTTACAGGTTAGGATGGGACCCCCGGATGCGGCCCCTAATGGCCGGCCTGAGAGGGGAGTAGGAGTATATTCTAATAAGGAATAAGGATAGGAGTTGGAGTAG